TGTTGAGTTTTCTACTGATCACTGTGTTGTTAAGGAAAAACAGTCCCAAGCTGTTCTTCTTCAAGGAAAGCTTAAAGATGGTCTTTACCAACTCCAAATTCCAGCCATTCCCTTTGTCTCCAAGTCCAATCTGCCTGCAGATCATTTAACCTTTCCAATTTCAATTCTTAACTCATCAATTGGAGCTCCTGCTCAATCTCAGTCTTCACAAACTTTGTTTTCTACATTTCCTGTTGTTCATACTACTAGCAATGCTAATAAATATTGTGAAATTACAAATTCTAATAATGTTGTTGTTAATAATTGTTCTCCTGCATTTGTACCTATTTGTGATAACAATGCTAAGTCTGTACATGTATCATCCTCTAATAATGATACTGAAACCAATTAAGCTATGATTCAGTCTTTTTCTGCTGCAAAAACTAATGGTTTGTTATGGCACAAACGTTTAGGTCATCCAAATGCCACAATTCTTGCAAAAATATTGCACTTTTTGAACTTAAAACATACAGTCACAAGCACGTTTGATTTCTGCACAGCTTGCCAATTTGGCAAACTTCACCAATCTAACTTCCCTAGGTCTAATTCTAGAGTGTCTAAGCCTTTAGAACTAGTACACTTTGACTTGTGGGGACCATCACCTGTACCTTCACCTGAAGGCTTTAAATATTATATCCAATTTTTAGATGACTATAGTAGGTTCACTTGGATTTTTCCTTTGAAAGTTAAGTCTGAAACACAATCTTTGTTTATTCACAAACTAGCTGAAAGACAATTTAGTACAACTCTGAAATGTGTTCAAACTAACTGGGGAGGTGAATATAGAAGTTTAGTTTCCTATTTTGTTGATCATGGCATTACCTTTAGGCATCCGTGTCGCTATACTCATAAAAAAAAGGTTGTGTGGAAAGAAAACATCGACAAATTGTAGAACAAGGCCTCACACCCCTTGCTCAAGCTAGTATGCCCCTAAAATATTAGTGGTGTGCTTTCCAAACTGCTGTCTATCTTACAAATAGGCTACCTACTCCTGTTTTGTCTAATCTGTCACCTTTTCAGGTTAAATTTGATCACCCTCCAGACTACTTAGGGATTTATCCATTTATTAGACCTTATAACTCTCATAAGTTTGCATTAATTGTTCCTGGGGATACATTGTCCCTGAATCCTCAACTCTCCAAATCAGTAACTCTTGAAGATCTTACTAATTCCACTGTTTCTATAGGAAAAAAAGATTTGCATCTTCATTAGTCTACTCGGTTCAATATCTGCCTAGGAACTATGAGAGGTTTAGCATATCTTCACGAGAGTTCAAGGCCAAAGATTGCACATTGAGATGTCAAAGCAAGTAATATTTTACTCAATGCAAACTCTGCCCTGAGATATCAGATTTTGGATTGGCAAAGCTGTATGATGACGCAAAACTCACATCAGCACAAGAGTTGCAAGGACCATCTAAGCTTCTTCAATCATTTCTTGACTGCCATTCTTCCTTAATACTTGTAATGTGCTACAGAGTATTATAGGATGTAATCTATACATGCTATCTTGGAAGTTACCAACAATACCTAGTAGATTTTGTTGTAAGGTATTTCAGAAACTCAGCATACATGTATTGATGAAAATGACTGAGAGCAATACATGTATGTTGAGAGAACTATATGTGTCATCTTTGATTGTCACATAGTGATTGATGCTAGAATCTTTGGAGGGGACTAGATTTGTGACTGTATTGCTTTATTATTATTCAAGATTTGCTAAATGTTAAAGGTTTTCACATTGTAAAGGCGAGTGGGCACATGGGATGTGGTTGATCATTAAATTCAGTTTGATAGCAATATCCAAACTTGACTTTTGGATTTTTACCATGAGAAACACTTAATTATCTTGCAATGGTTATCTGGCACCAGAGTATGCAATGCATGGACACCTGACAAAAAAGGTTGATGTATTCAATTTTGGTGTTGTTGCTTTAGAGTTATCAGTGGAAGAGCAAACTCTGGTACTAACTTGGATAGTGAAAAGATTTATCTTCTTGAATGGGCAATTATATAAATTTGAATTTTGATTTGTTTTGTTTGCTTGCTTCTATGATCCCTAGTTAAGAAAAACACATTTCTTTTGAATTGCCTATGTACTATTTCCAAGCCTAGAGTCGTCATGAAAGTAACCAAAGTTTGGGGTCGATAGATCACAAATTAATAGAGTTCAATGAAATCAAAGCTCTTCGAGTAATAGCAGTGACTAATGTTTTAAACAAGAATCAAATGAGTTACCGAACACTGAAAAATTGTCCATGAATATTTCAATGGACTTTTCCACCATATTCGAGAAGATAGACATCATGCATCTTTGAAGGTGGTTGGAGCGTTGCACAATCCAAATGGTATCCTCCGATAGACAAATGTTCCATAAGGAGATGTGAATGTGATCTTCTCTTCATTTTTCGGTGCTATTGCGATTTGATTGTACCCCGAGTATCCATCAAGGAAACAATAAAACGCGTCACCTGCTAATCTCTCCAACATTTGGTCAATTAAAGGTAGTGGAAAGTGATACTTGTATGTTGTGGAGTTTAGCTTTCGGTAATTTATACACACTCGCCATCCCGTAACTGTTCTTATTGGAATGAGATCATTGTTGTCATTTTGCTCAATGGTTATACCTCCTTTCTTTGGCACAACTTGGACCGAACTCAACCATGTACTATCGAAAAGTGGATATATAATTCCTATGTCTAACAACTTAAGTACTTCTTTCTTCACCACTTCTTGCTTTGATGGATTCTATATCATTTGTGGCTGCACTGTAGGTTTGTAGCTTTCTTCCATCAAAATTTTGTGTGTGCAAATAGAGGGACTTATACTCTTTATGTCCGCAATTGTCTATCCAATAGCCTTGTTGTACTTCCTCAATACTCTCAATAGTTTCTCTTCCTCTACATCATTCAAAGAAGCATTAATAATAACAGGAAAAAAGTTAGACCCTTCTAAGAATGCGTACCTCAAGTGAGATGGAAGTTGCTTGAGTTCAAGTTCAGGTGGCTGCTTTGCTGGTGACTTCGAATGACTTCCCACTACTCTAATTCCACTAAATTTGTGGCCACTTGGACTTTCTAGAGATGGTAAGTCATTTGAAAAATTATCACACTCTCTTAGTTCTTCTCTAAGTACTTCTTCATCCAAAGTTCTAGAGTTGACTAAACAATTCTTTAAAAGGGAAATAGGGAAATTTTCTTTTAGGGTTTCAGCTACGACATTATCAATTACACTAATTTCAAAACATATATCTACATTGGAAGGATATTTCCTAGCGTCAAATACATTAAATTCTAATTGCTCATCTTCTACCCTTAAAATTAATTTTCTTTTGTGAACGTCTATCAAAGTACTACCCATTGCTAGAAAAAGTTTTCCTAAAATTAGAGGAACTTCCCAATCTTCTTCCATGTCTAACACTATAAAATCTAACGGAAAAATTAAGTTCTTTACCTTTATTAAGACATCTTCTCCCACTTACCTATGGTATTTTATATATCTATCTACTAACTGAAGATGAACCATGCTTTGTTTTACTTCTCCCAAGCCAAGCTTCTTGTACATAGAAAAAGGCATCAAATTAACACTAGCTCCTAGATCACATAAAACTTCAAATGCAACTGCCAATTGTACAAGGGATAGTAAAACTCTTTGGATCTCATAGTTTCAATGGTAGTTTCTTTAGTATAGCGCACTATATTCCTTGGTAAACATGACTATCTCATGTTCTCCAAACTTCCTTTTGTGTGTTAGGATCTCCTTTAAGAACTTTGCATACTTTAGCATTTGCTCCAACATATCTACAAAAGGAATGCTAATATGTAAACTTCAGAACATGTCTATGAAATACAAATTGCTTGTCTACCTATTGCTTCTTCAACCTGTGCAGGTATGGTATTGTAGTATCCACTTTCCTCTCATCTTCAGCCTTTTTCTCCTCTTCCTAGGCTGTGTCACGACATTGTTGATCTGCGCCATGGCATGCATCATTTTTTTTCGCTGTGTTGCAACATGAGCCATGTTGTGTCAGGTCATGCATGCTTTTGCCCAGTTTCATGTCGTCTTTTTTCTGTTGTGGCACAGCATGAGTCATGTTGTGCCATGGCATGCGTGCTTCTACCCAATTTCACATTTTCAACAATTTCTTGTTTTCAACAATTTCTTTACTTTCAACTCCTCTTTTTGGTTCCTTCAGCTCCTTAACACTTCTTAACAAGATGGCATTGGTTGCTCCTTTTGATTTTTCTCTGTATCACTTGGTAAAGATCCTTGAACTCTCCTTGACAAAATATTGTGAATTTGGGTCATTTGTGTTTCAAGATTTTTTATCGAGGCAGACTGATTTTGCAAGAGTACTTCATATTTCTGGAGCTGATTTTCATTCTTCTCAAATCTCTTTCTCGACTCCTCCATAAATTTTGTAAGCACATTCTCCATATTAGATTTCTTCTCTTGAGTTTAAAAACTAAGAGGTGGTTTATTGTCAACATTGTTACTCTAGGAGAAATTCAAGTGATTTTGCCATGCTGGATTGTAAGTGTTGGAGTATGGATTTCCCTGCCCTCGCTGAAAGTTGTTCACATAATTCGCTTGTTCCGATTGGGCAAATGGATTCCCTACTTGACAATCTCCAGATAAATGATTTCCTGCACCAAATTCACATGTTAGAGAAGGAGTTTGAGTGGCATTCACTTTTAGAGCAACACCACCTAATTGTTTTTGGATGGCTATATGTTGAGCAGCCAATCCAACATAACTGTCAACTTCATGCACTCCTGTTGCTCTCCTTGTTGTACTTCTCTCTTAGGACTTCATGTAGTTATTACTAGCCATCAATCAATTAAATTGTAGGTATTCTCTAGTGATTTATTGTGCAATGCTCATCCACTTGCAGCATCAATCAACACTTGTGTATTTGGTAACAACTCATTGTAAAACGTCTGCACTTGCAACCATATTAGCAAACCATGGTGAGGACACTTCGATAAGAGATCCTTATAATTTTCCCATGCTTCATAAAGTGACTCAATTTCTTGTTGGGAAAAATTAATAATGTCATTTGTCATTTAGGCCGACTTGACAAGAGGAAAGTATTTTATAAGGAACGCTTGAACTAACTCATTCCAAGTAGTGATACTCCTAGGTGGCAGTGCAATCAACCAAGCCTTAGCTTTATCCCAAAGAGAGAATGAAAAAAGCCTAAGCCTAATTGCTTTAGCAAATACCCCATTGTGTTTGAATGTTCGCAGAGCTCCAGAAAATTTGCTATATGCAAATTAGGATCATCACTTGGCAATCCTCCAAATTGTAATGTTGTATCATCTAAATGATGGCTAGTTTTATTTCAAAATTATTTGCTTGAATTGGTGGTCTCCTGATGTAGATGAACACCCTTCAATAGTAGGACTTGAGTAGTCCTTCAATGCTCTTTAAATAATTATAGCTCCACTAGCCACATTACCCCCTTCTGCATCGTCCCCATGGACTTCCTCATTGTTTCTTAGATTATTTCATGTCATCAAATCAACCATTGAATTGGATTCTTGTGTACTAGCTTGTATCCTTACTTTTCTCAACTTTCTAATCGTTCTCTCAATCTCATAATCGAAAAGATCAAGATCTGCACCTCTAGAACATAAGCTCTCAAAGATCTAAAAACACAAAAAATTTAGAACTAAAAATTAAAATGCTAAAAACAAAAAATAAAATAAAATTTATACGAACCAAATTAGCAACTAAAAAACTTGTATTGATATTGATAATATAAAAGCAATTCCCCAGCGACGGCGCCAAAAACTTGACAGGATTATTCGCAAGCATGAAATCGCACAAGTAATAATGGATAAGTATCTAGATATCAAACCCTAAGGAATCACTATTATCGATTACCAAAGTTGACTATCTTATTACTATTTGATTAACAGAAATTTTGTGAAGGATTCTAACCTAAATTAAACAATTAAAACAAATTAAAAATCTGGAAAATAAAGATTTAAACAAAAACTCTTATTGTAATGCAAGATGACTAAACTTAGGGCATAGATTTCACATCAACTCTATTCCTATGCATTGATGATTATTGCTAAACTTATTAAGCTTCTTCTATAGGCTAAATTCCTTAACATTCTAATAATTTCTCTTGAACAATTATCAAATTAACCTTCAATTACTAATCCAAAATATCTCTAAATCAGATTTAAGTATTAGAAAGATCATTAGTTCTATGGAATTTACCAAAGCTTCATAGATCGTGGTAAACTATCTCTAGCGTTCGCTCAACCTAGGGTTTTATTATCCTAGACCAACTAGATATCATCTCTCAATCTCAATCTAGTTCATGATTCATTCAACTCTCAGGCCCTTGAGAATTAAAAGCATAACGCACAATAATAGAACTTAGAATAATTGCTTAATAAAATTTAACAACATAAATCACTGCATATTCATAAAGATTGGGTTACATCCTAGCCCTAGAAAACTAATTAATGAGTTCATAGTCATCATGAATAAAAAAGTCATTATTGTTGAAAGAATAAACATGAGTTCAAAATACATAATAAAGAAGAATCAAAGCTCTAAACTTTGTTTGCCTTAATCTCCAAGTTGCGAATCCTCTTTCTCCTTCTTTCTCACTCCCTTAGTATGACTTAAAGACACCTATTTATATTACTAGGGTATCAAGACTTCATTTAAAATAATCCTATTCAGACTAGACTTCATAACATTTTAAAAGTAAACGTATAAAGTCATGCAGAAGTAGGAATCGTTGTCATGTCATGGCATGGGTAGACTTGTGCAGCAATATGTGCACCAACCGTCAATTTCATCTTTGTCCAGAACCAGCCTGGTCGCAACATGAGTAAACTTGTGTCGCGACACACAAATATGCATTTTTTTCTTGTATAAAGCTTTTTGAATTTGACAAAGTCTTCAATATACGAAGTGTAGGTGTTTCTATTAGCTCTCCAGTGCTTCAAGAATCAACAACAAATGAGGTCTACGGCTCCAGAATTCATCAAAATACTGAAGTATGCCTGAGACTTTAATGAATTTCTAATTTTTGCCCTTTATCTTCAAACTTTTTAACCCTCTCATATCAACTCCAATTCCTGAACCATTCGTTCGCTCACATTGCTCTTCACATAAATGTCTTTTTAACGTCATTGACCTAAAAACACTCAAAATATACTCATGATCCCATAAAAGATAATAATGCAACAATTAAGTAAAATAAGTCTAATTCAAACAATTATCCCCATAAATCACCAAATAAAAGTGTGTTTCCAAGCTTTTATCACATTTCCACAATGGTATTTTGGTACTTTAGTTTAAAATCAAAGAGATTGAACAACTTCAAGGTGTCTATTCTTTCTTTCAGCAACGTTGTTTTATTGAGGTGTATCAATGCAAGTTGATTGATGTAAAAGGCCCTCATCTGATCGGTATGTGTCATGAGTTCCTGGTTGAAGTATTCTCACTATCTGATGGGTGTATCAATACAAGTTGATTGATGTAAAAATGACATTGCATTAATTAGAATGGAAGTGGTTTCGTCCTTTTTCAACCAGCTAGACACCAAAAATTAAACTATATAATATAATGTTAATGATAATAATTTTATTCTTCAAAAAATGTTTCCAAATATCTTAACAGAAAGTACATATAATAATTAGATATGGGAAGATGGCAAGTTGGTGGCATTGAGAAAATAGAGGAAGACAGAAAGTGACTGATCAGGCATGAATAACGGGGACTTGGTGGCCTGTGCCACGCATGGTGGCCAAAGTCAGACCCTTCTCATACCTCTCCACCCATCTAGCTACTTCTTTTTTGTGAAACCATGCCCTCCATTCTTCCTCTATTATTTATTAAATTATATATATATGTGTATGTGTGGACATAAATTTTAATACCTGTAGATCCAGATACGCATTCGGAATCCAAGAGCTTCTTAATGATGGGCAAGACACTGTCGGGAGAGTCACTCCAGTTCCTAATAACGCCACTATACAAACACGTTGCAACACAATTACAAATTAATTATATATAATTAGGTTATGATATATATTCTGTGACATTTTAATTGCTCAATTTAATAGAGTTTTATGTTAAATTACTGATCTAATCATACATGCAACATGTACATGATGACATACTCATATATATATACAACGAGCTGTGGAAAATGGATGGAATTGAAAACTTGGAGATTGGTGGATGTGTAGAAAAAGTTAGTGAAAATGAGAGGTCAAGAATAATATGAAGAACTAAATGTAAGGTTCTGATGTTTGAGATTTTGTCAATTCTTTAAGAACGTCTCATTGGCTATGATTTTTTGTCTACCTAAACACAGTGAAAAGCTTGAAAATATTTTAGACATACTGGCCATGTGACTAGTAGCACCTGAATCAATGATCCAGGTGTAGGAATCAAGTTTTTAGAGCGTTCATGAGACATCTATACATAAGAAAACCATGGAACAAGAACATGTAAAGGTGGATTCAAAGCTAGTACTAGACTCCTCTATTTGGTTTAACAATTGTTGGAGCTTTCCAATGTCCTTTCAATTAAACCCTTCTGGTCAATATCCATTACTTCCATGCACAATTGTGGTTTGATTTGCTCGGCCTATCCGGTTAGGTTAAAACCTTCCATGGTTGCCAAGTTGCTTCAGATTTTATGGCTTCCCATGTAGCTTCCAAGATGTGGCTAGTGTGTGCCTTTGCTTATTACAAGAGTCACACCAAAGCTTCTCTTTTTCTTGGAATTTTCTATCATTATAGGTTTTGTCATAACAAGAGTCAAATTTTCCGTGGTTCCGTCTATACCCTCCATGATTTTAGCACCCACTAGTTCTTTCGTTGCTTTTCTCCCCTCTAATGATAGCAAATGCTTCATCAAGATCTAGTAGATATGATCTCTCTCGAGGACTCAATCTCTTGCATGATCATACTCTAAATTAAGTCCCAACAGAAATTGTCTAAAATGTTCCCCTTCCATAAGATCTCTTATCGTCTTTGTATCTTCAAGGGATCGTAACTCCATATATAAGTGCAAATCCAATTTGGCCAGCAGTCCTTTGACTATATTGTCGTAGTCCGTGACATTCATGGATCCATACTTTGTGTTAAAAATCTCTCTCTTAATTTGGAATATTTGTGTAGCAAAACTAACTTTGGAATATGTTTTGTTCACAACATCCCATATCTTTTTTACTGTGGGAAGTAACATTTAGGTTATTGTTGAAGTGAAGGCTTGAAATGCCACCGCATTGGAGAGTTAATGGAACACTGTCGTTTTAGGGGTTTAGTTGAGTTGGATCCTAACAGCTGATCCAACACTTATCCAATGGCTGAAATCCTTCCTACAAGTCAACAGTATAAAAGGAGAAAAAAAAAATCAGATTCACCTAATTTTTCTCTTTCAGAGCTTTCTCTTATTGTATCAGTTGCTCTCTGCTAGGGCTTGTGATTATGTTCTGAAATTTGGTTGTAACTTAGGCATTAGTCATTCAGTAAAGGGTAATTGCTCTTATTCTAGGGATTTCGGGTTTGAGACTCTCTAAAGGTCAAGTTACGAGTAGTTTCAGGTTGAATGGGAAAGATTCTTATGTGACTTCTTGTAAGATTTGTAATCTTTGATACACTCTTAATAATAGTGCAGCAGGCTCTCCCATTTTCGGAGCTAGACGTGGATGTAGCTTGCTCAAATCTTGAGTAAGTGAACCATGATAAATCTTGGTGTTCTTGTGTGTGTGATCTGTTGATTTGTGTATGTTTGTGAGTTGTTTTATTCTAGATTGTAGTATAACACTGGTATTAGAGCGATTGGTGACTAGATTTGGGTTATCAAAATCTCAAATCAGATCTGGAAGATTTCTAGGGTCCTAGGGTTGTCAAAATTTGGGGCTTTCTCAATTTTGGTAGTCCTCGATCTAATTAGGAGTTCATATATCAGAAATCTGAGTGAATTGTTGTCAATTAGACAAATTAGGGAAAAATCTAAGGTTTACCGAATCTTAGAAAGTCAAGAATAGTTCTTTGTTCTTACGCCTGTCAATCCATCAAT